GGATCCCACCGGGTCTCCTCCCGGCCCCTCCCACAAGCCCCGCCCCCACTGCCCCTTCTAGGCCCCACCCCACTGCCCTCGGCCACGCCCTATAGCTGACCCCGCCCCTCCTTGTCTCCGCTCCCAGGCCCCGCCCCGCGCACCTCGCAGGGCCCCCAGCCCTCAGCTAGCTGGCGCGCGTAGTCGTCGGCCACGTGCTGCCGGGAGGTGCCGCTGACGGCATCGTGGTGCTGGAGCACCGCCATCGCCTCATCTGCGGGCAGACGGTGAGTCCGGCGGGGTGCCGCAGGATTCACGGCCCGACCCCAAGGAGATGCGAAAGGTCCCATGCTGCCGGCAGGGTTCTTAGGGGCTTTAAGAGGGGACTCGAGGGAGTGTGACTTAGGGATGGTTTCCAGCTTCAGCCCCACCCCCGTCCCCTCATGGCCTGACACCTACTGAGTGGTGCACTGTCTCCCAAGCCATAGGATCCCATGTTGGCCGCCGGGCCCGCCAGCGCCTCCAGCTGGTTGCACACCTGGGGAGCAGGGGGTATGTTGGGGCACCGGGCCTGCCGGGCCTCCTGGGCTGCCCCCTTGAGCCCGGAGCCCACCCACCTGCAGAAAGTTGTAGCTGAGGCGCTCGTAGCGTTTGAGGGCCGGCCGGCTGGAAAAATAGCCAGTCCAGAATTTGTGGGGGCCGTCCGCGTAGGGGAAGAAGTCGTCCTGTTTCACAGACCTGCAGTGGCAGGGGCATTGAGGGCAGGGTCATGACCCACGGGGCATGCCAATCCCCGCCCCCCAAGCTCCCTGGTTCCCCCTCTCCCCAAATACCAGGTGAGGTTGGCCTTGTTCAGCTCCCAGAGGTAACAAGCCGGGGTGGAGTAGAGAACATGGACTCGGCTCCCGTTTGCCTGTTGCTGGGAGGAGGCGTGTGTGAGCCCTCGGGAGTCTGCGCTTTCCCGGGAACACCGGTGGGCACATACACACCTCCCCGCGTGGGCGTACATTCATGCACCAGGTAGGTGCAGATTCAATGAATAACACAGTTTAAGTGTAAACCAACAGTCAAGGGTGGAAATGAATTTTGGCCCAAGCCGAATATTACCATCCTTGAAAAGGATTTCAGGGATGCAAGAATAAACTTGAAATTTTCCTAAACATTTTAAATAATTTCAATTTTTTATTTCATTTTGCATTTTCTTCTTTTTGGCAGCTGGCGGGTAAGGGGAACCGAACCCTTATCCTTGGTGTTATTAACACTGCTCTAACCAACTGAGCTGACCAGCCAGCCCTAAATAATTCCTATTTTATTATTCAAAACTTTTGTGGAAAACTAAATGTGACATTATAGAGCAGGAAGAATCATTTTTCAGCACTGTCAGGTTACCAAAAGACAGTTTTTATACTGAACAGAGGCTCGCTTTCAACTGAGGGAGGTGGAGGAGGAACAAGAAGGTGACTTCCACGTGGAAAAGGATATTTGTTCTGCTCATGCTCTGTCACCAGTGTGCGCAGTAGGTGCTCGGTAAGCACTTTTTTTTTTCTTCGAGATGACCGGTAAGGGGATCTTAACCCTAGACTTGGTGTTGTCAGCACCATGCTCAGCCAGTGAGCAAACCGGCCATCCCTATATAGGATCCGAACCCACGGCCTTGGTGTTATCAGCACCATACTCTCCCAGGTGAGCCATGGGCTGGTCCTTCAGTAAGCATTTTGAGTGAAGAAAGGGATGTGCAGGGGCTACATGCCTTTATGTGCATACACGTCTACACACCTCCACACACAGTCATCTCTATGGTTACATACATAATACTCACACACACTGTTCACTCAGCAAACAATCACTCAGGTCTTCAGTATGCTCAAGATGGCGGACACAATCTAGAACCAGATTATAACACCAAAGTCAAGGGTTTGGATCCCCAGACTGGCCTGACGCCCAAAGAAAATAATAATAGAATCAGAGAGACCAGTCCCCGCCCCCATGGCATGCACAGCCAAGCAGAGGAGATAGACACTGAAGAGTCAGCTGGTTGCAGTTGGTCTGGATTTGGCACGACAGGTGTTTGTGGGGGCTGATGTGAGCACAGAGGAAAGCAAAGTCTCCCCCTGGATTTTGGTGAAGGTTTACTGGAGGAGGAGACGTTGCAGTTGGTGTCTTAAAGGAAGAGCAGGAGGTTTTCAGCCAGAAATAATGATAGCAAACAACCACTAACACATATTCTGTGCCAGGCACTGTCCTACTGATCTACGCAAATGAACTCATTAAACTCTCATTAACAGCCCTATAAGGTGAGGACCACCATTAAGCCCCTTTTATAGATGAGAAAACTTAAGCACTGAGTGTTTAGGAACATTTCTCAAAGTCACAGAGCCAGTAACTGGCAAAGCCAGGATTTGAACCCATGGACTCCACTTACAGAGTTTGTGAAATGGAGTTGGGCAAAGGAGCAGTCAATGGCAGGAGAAACAGCGAGAGGGTGTGACATCATGGTAGCCCAGGGATATGGATTTTGCAGGAGAAAGTGGTCGAGGTGCTGAAGTCTCCTCAGACACCATGGGCATGGGAGGACTGAGAAATATCTTCTGGAAGGCCTTCGGTGATGGTTACTGAGAACTGTTTTGGTGAAACAGCAGTGCAGGGAGCGAGTGGGTGGTGAGGATGGAGAGAATACACAGGTAGTAAGGACAAGATTGATGAGAAGGGGCATCTGAGATGGAAGAGGGGAGGCAAGTTTGTGTGCTGATGGGGAAGAGTGACTGCCGGTGCACACAGCCACAGCTGCAGGCCACTTACAGTGACACATCAAAACATCTGTAGTAGGTAGCATAACGGCCCCCCAAAGATGTCCACATCCTGATTGCCAGAACCTGTGACTATGGTAGGTTACATGGAAAAGGAGAATCAAGGCTGCAGATGGAATTAAGGTTGTTCATCAGCTAACCTCAAAATAGGGAGATTATCCTGAATTATCCAGCAGACCCAATGTAATCACAAGGTTCTTTAAAAGTGGAAGGGGGAGGCAGAAGAGGAGAGAATGAGAAAGAGATGTGATTACAGAAGCAGTGTCAGAGGGATGCTCTGAGCTGGCTTTGAAGATGGAGGAAGGGGCCACAAGTCAGGAAATTCAGGGAAGCTTTCAGAGGCTGGAAAAAGCAAGGAAACATATTCTCTCCTAGAGCCACCAGAAAGGCACAGTCCTGCCAACACCTTGATTCTAGCCCAGTGAGCCCCATGCCGGACTTCTGACCTACAGAACTATAAGACAACATATTTCTGTTGTTTTGAGGTGCTAAGTTTGTGGTAATTTGTTATAGTAGCCATAGACAACTAAGATAGCACCCATAGCTATGCACATGACCCATGGCCCAGGGATCCAAGCACACGGGGGTACCACGGGGTGGGCACACTGACCTGGGCATTGACCAGCCGGATGAGCTTGTCCAGGTTTTTGAACCACATGTTGGCATTCTCATATTGGAAGTCCGAGCCCATGGTCATCACGGTGTGGTTGGTGCGGTAGTACTGGGCCTGCAGGCCAGAGGGGAGTCCTCAGGCTGGGGTGTCCCGGCCCCCCCCATGAATAGCTGTGTCTCGGTATATATGTGGTTAAGAATGTAGGCACACATGCAGGCATGGTTGGGGGGGTGGGTGTGGCACATAGGAGCATAAGGACACATATAAAAACAGCCACTGGCTGTTGAGCAGTTCTCCTGGGCCCACCACACAGATGAGGGCACTGAGGCACTGTCCCATGCCATCTCATGCACACAAATCCAAGAGGGGGACACAGTGATGGTGAACAGAACAGTGCCTTCCTCCAAGGGGTATGAGGAGGTGTCAGGAAAGCCTAATAATCGTCAGTCTGGCAGGTTCTGGACACCAGGGTTACCTGGGCAGCAGCCAGCTGCAGGAAGTAATCGACCATCTTCTCGGCGTTATATTCAGGGCTACGGGGGTCGTCCACCACAGGCTTGTCAGCACACAGCACATCCCAGCACAGATTATTCGGCGGGTTATAAATGTTGGGGAGCACACCTGAGGGCCAAACCAGGCTCAGGGGGTAGCCCACGCCCCAGACTTGCTTTGGGTTCAAGGCCTGCCAGGCCTCACCCAGGATGGGCTTCAGAATGTATGGGACCGAGTGCAAAAAGAAAACACAGGGCCCTTGTTCACAAAGTATTAAGAATTCTAGGACAGTGACAGCAGAGAATTCGGTCAAGCCCAGGGCCCTCCATCCCCTCACCAGTGAAGAGGTCGGCAGTTGGGGGCTTCAGGCTGTCGCTGGCCCGCCACACCTGCTCCATCTGCTGCTTCTCCTTCCGCACTTCTTTATCCTGATAATCGAGGCGCCCAAGGAAGAAGCCATCAAAGCCCATCTGGGAGTGGGGCAGGAAGGACAGTAGGAATGAGGGCCCCGCCCTCTCACCACCACGCAGGGCTCAGCTCGGGAGGTGTGGGTCAGAGCACAGGTAGGAAGCGGGGCTGAAAGTAGGGTGGCTGCCAGTTTATTTCCAAGCTTGGGGAAGGGTCGGAACCCACCTCCACCTCCCCAGATCAGTGAAAGCCAAAAGAAGGCCTGACTCAAGGAGTGAGGGTCCCCTTTCCACAGCCTGAGGATGGATGGGGTCAGAGTACAGGTAATGGAGCTGGTTTTAAAGCACAGGAGGCCTCCTCCATCTGCCAACCAGCTTGTGGGCCAGAGCTCTAACAGGGGTGGGTCAGGGGAGGGGCCGGAGCCTGCGGGACTGGGGCATAGCAGGGCCTAGGCTGGAGCATAAAAGGAACACGAATCGCAGATTCACAGGTCACCCAAGCAGGGGGAGCCTCAGTGGACCCGCGGGTCAAGGCCCGGTCCGTGTGAGTTAGCAGGGAAAGGCAGGGCTTGAGTGGCTGAGTGGAGTCAGGGCGAGTGAAGGGGTGGCTGCACCTGGGCGAACAGCGAGGCCTGTTCCCGAGAGTGGCCGAAGGGGTCGATGTGCCAGGCCACATGGGGGCGCCCGTCGTTGCCGAATGTGTCCTCCAGGAAGCGCAGCCCGAGTGTCATCTGGTCCACAATGGCGCCATAATGGGTGGCCGCCTCGTCGTTCATCACCCAGCCACCATTGGCAAATTCCAGGCGCCCTGTGCAGCGAGGGACAAGGTCCAGGTTGGTTGTTTGTGGGGGGGGGGCAGGGTGGAGAATGCTGGGGGTAAGAAGACCTGCCTGCATGTTCAGGCCTGGAAGGAGAGGAGGGGTTGCTCCCAGGCCCATGTAACCAGAGACGGGAAAGAGAGCTCCCTGCATGGCAGGCTTTCAGGAGGATCCACTGGAGGTGGGGCCCTAGGCGGTGCACATTTCTCAAAATAAAGGGAGATTCCAGGCAGGAGGAGCTGCATGCATGTACAGCCTGCACGTGGCATGATAAAATCTCAAACTAGGACTGCAGAAAGAGAAGCTGGGCTGGGCTTCCTCTTTCCATTTCCTTGGGGCAGGCTCACCCTGGCGCACCAGCTGCCGCACGGTTTCCTGTGTTGCATTTGTCTGCTGGTACCACCAGCGGGAGAAGAAGGCCATCTCCACATAGACGAAGCGGCGGGTGGGCTCTGCCAGCAGGGCGGAGATGACTGAGTCTAGGATGTACTGTACGCCAGCATGCTGGATGTCATTCTTGACTGTGGATACAGGGGTCAGGCAATCAGGGACCAACACAAGGGGGACATTCCTCAACACAGGAACCCAAGTTGGACATTGCCCCCACCCTAATGTGCAGGGCCTAGAGGGGCTCAGAGGGGCCATGGCAGTCCCAGGTGCCAGTCCCCACCCTCTACTCACTGCCATAAAAGTACTGGTCCACTGTCTTGAGCCAGCCCACGTCATCATGTGTGTGGGCCACCAGGTGCACGTTGAGCATGTCCGGATGCACAGTGGGGCATGTCTGCACAGGGACCCCAAACACATACACACAGTCTATGAGCAACCCCAGAGTTAAGAGAAGAGGTGGGAGGTGGGGGGAGAGTCGCAAGCTAAGGCTTGATTTAGAGGTGAGTGACTCAGAGGGTAAAGAGGCCTGACCCCAACAGTGTGCAGAGGAGACCAAGCCCTCCCAGGCAGGACACACACATACGAGGGTATTTCACAAAGTTCATGGAAAGATTCCTGTTATCTTTCAATTCTATTTTGTCACGAATTTTGTGAAGTACTCTCACAGTTGTGGTCACAGATACAGCTCCCACTTTGCACAACCCCACAAGGCAGCTCTCGTTCACACCGTGGGAAAATGATAATAGTAGTAGCCGATGTTTGTTAAGCATTAGTAAATGGCAGACAACCATCTGGGAGGTGGAGCAATATTATCCCCAGTTTTCAGATGATGACACTGAGGCTCAGAGAGGGGAGATGACTTCCCCAAAGTAATACAGTCAGGCAATAGAGGAACCAGGTTAAAACTCCAGATAGGCTGACACTAGAGTCCCAGGTCTCAACAAGCTCCCCCCTCAATACACACACAGATGCTCACCCCTTGCCCCTCCAATCACACAGTTAAGCGCATGCAAAGTCCAGGCAAGCGACCCGGAGACACAGGGAGGCAGGTACAATCAGACACAGCCCCGTTCTCAGACGCGCACAGCCAGACCTCTCCATGACACAAGGCACGCACTCAGACCACACTGTCCCCTCAGCAGCCATTCACTAGGCACACACGGATCAGAACCACCCACACACACCTCCACACCGTCCTCGCGACTTCGACTCCCTGAGTTTTCCGCCCGCGGGCCCCGCTGACCTCGTATCCAGCGGCTCGAGCGCCCGGCGCCCCCAGCAACAACAAAAAGAGAAAGGAAAGAGGCAGGAGCGGCGGACGCAGGGCGCGGGAGCTCGTCCAGGTCCCCGCTGCGCCCGGGCGGTCGCCGGTGCGGACCCCCGAAGCCAGCCAGCCGGCGCCCATGGCTCTGCCGCCGCCGCCGCCGCCGCCGCCGCCGCAGGCTCCTGGGGTTCCCAGGCCCTGCCCCCAGAACCCGGTCTGGCCAATCGGCGCTGGTGGGCGGGGCCTGGCGCGTCACGGGAACGAGTACGCAGTCCTGGACACACTTGGGTTCTCCAGGAATATGGGAAAGCGCCCGGCGTGTCCCACCGTTTGACCAATGGCGCCTTTAAGCGTCTCGCCAGCTCCCTGGAACCTTGGAGTGCCTCCTTGTCCCCAGAGGGGCAGAGGTATCAGATTTTCCTACAGGTGCCGGGTTCTCCTAGAGGGTGCAGTGTGTGCGTCCTGTACCATCATCACTTTCAGGGCTAGGGTTCTGGAGAGACCGAGATTGGCTACCAGCCGGGGTTGATGCGAATCCTGTTCTATCCTGCGGGGACTGGGACGATGGATGAACGAACTGCCCTTGGAGTGCTGGGGATGGGAGGCATCCAGCCTGGTTGGGACGGACCCCTCGGACCCAGTGAGGAGGGAGGGCCTGGCAGGTGGGGAAGGACCACGAGTCTTTCATGTCCTTCCGAATTCCTACCAATCCATCCAGTTGGCAGACATTACTCCATTCCTCTAATAAGAAAGTCAAAGCCCAGACTGCTTAGTCAGCAGAGCCTCCAGAGGGCGGGGGTCAGTGTCCTGTCCCTGACACCTGACTTAAGGCATGCAGCTTGTGAAATAAGTAAGTGAAACACCAGAAAGCTCCAGACTGGGGCCCCACCCCAGGCCTAACTGAGCGGAGGAGGTGGAGCCCTTCCCCCACTAGGAGGAGCACCCCCACGGAACAGAAGAGAGAAGTCGGAGGGCAGCCACAGTGAAAAACTTTATTGACTGGTTGCAACAAGAAAACGAGTGAGTTTACCTAGAAACATGGACAGCATCTCCCCTAGCAGCAGGCAGGGTAGAGGAGGCAGGAAGGGTAGGCCTCAGGTATTTCCCTCTATGACCCAGCAGAAGTGGGACCCCAGGGCAGGGGCCAGTTTCTCTCCATCCAGCTGGGCCCTTGAGACTCCCTCACTCAGGGAAGTCCAGAACAGCAGCTGAGGGCAGGAGACTGAGCGGCCAAAGTCTGGGGGAAGGTGGATAGAAGGGTTCCAGGATGTGACCTGGATAGGCTGACATCACCAAGGGGGTGTCATGGGCTGAGGATTCTGCAGATAGGACATCACCACGGCAGAGATGGACAGCCTGAGACAGGAGAAAGGGGTCAATCCAGGATGGGTAGGTTTGGGTCTCCCCTCCCCCTTACTCAGGATCCCCTCCCTCTCCAGGCCAAGCCTCACATGAAGCTACTCATCATCTGTTTAGTGTCCTCTGAGCTCCGGGAGTTGGCAAAACTGATGAAGGAGCAGTAGACAGCCACCCAAGCGCACCACTTCAGCTGGGGAAAGGTAGGTGGGTGGGCCGGTTAGGTCAGTGAGAGACAGGCCAATGAGCCCCCCAAGCCACATTCCCAGGTACCGATTCCAGCCCACCGATTCCACCTGGTGCAGCTCTGACCTTGCCCCCCCAGGAGCTGCTCAGTCCTGCCCGCTCATAGCCTAGTCCAGGTACCCGGTCTCTGATCCCACCATGTCCCCTCACATCCCCAAACACTAAGGACCCTGCCCTTTCTCCACGAGTCCCTTTCAAGTTACTTCAAAACCTTGCCTGCCACGTATCCCACTGGGGCTTTCTTGGTCCTACGTCACCCTAGCCCCGCCCCCGGCCAACTTCAGGCCCCGCTTCATTCTGAACCCGCCCCCCGGCCTCGTTCTCAGGACGAGCTACGCCCATGGAAACTCAACCCCGCCCACCTTAAGCATGAGGCCGCACATGCTGAAGATCATGCCCAGCAGGTTCATGTAGTCCGGCGTCGGGTCGTCCAAGGCCGGGTTACACTCGCTCGGTGGGGGTTTGTACCTGCGACAGGCTCAAGGGTGAGGGGCGCTCAAGCCCCGCCCCCGGGATGGACAAGCGCTTCCCTGGGCCCCGACCCACACCCACAACCTGAGCCACGTTGCCATGATCTTGGGATTCTCACCTCAACACTTTGTTCGGCCTCCGTGGGTCCGACATATTGTTCGTGGACATAGCTAGTCGAGGCTAGGTCACGCCTCTTCCGCTGCGGGAGGGGCAGCTTCCGGCGTAGAAATGGGGGGGGGGGGGGCTTTTAGAGTAACACCCGCAGCCGTCGCGCTTCAGTTCCTCACGGCCGAGGCGAGGAC